CTCAGCCTCAGTTTTCTCATCTGTAAAATTAGAAAACTCAGCATTGTGAGTGCAGTATGAGAGAGCTGTTTTCAGTAAATGATACACTTTTAGAATATTTGGTTTGAATTCTATCTGCACAGAGCAATTGTATGTCCCAGTTACCACGAGAAATCATCGTTTTTAAAGGGTTGCGTGGCTTCCTGGGCTTCTGATCTATTATTTAAAAGCAAAAATAAAAACACCTCCTTTGTACCATTTCTTTAGTTAGATCCAGTTGAAAGGAATAAAGTTAATTGGAAAAATAAAATAAAAACAGTTAATAAAAGATGAACTACGTGGCCTAGAAGTCACACAAGTCATCCTGCACTTGCTGTGCAAACCTTTCCTCTCTGGCACTTGACATTTGGGCATTGGGATCCAGAGGAAGCTCATTTGATATTCACAAAGGAAGTGATGCGATGGAAGCTTGTTAACTCTGGGAACAGAGAATAAACTGTCCAGGCCTCTTTACCTGGCATAATTAGGCTCTGAGTTATATGTCAAATTACCATAAGCAGCCCCAGAACCCTGGTTCCCTCCTGTGAGCCCCCCTGAAAAGCTGCACAAGCCCTCCTTGGCTACTGCTTATAATGAATTAAATATATGTCAGCGACATAGACGAGGCCTCAGACCTGCCATCACTGGCACTGCAATGGAAAAAACCTCACTTGTGACTTTGATGAAAATGTGCTAATTGTAATCCTACAAAAAAGGTCACAGACTCAGGAGCCTACAGGGATCAAGTGGAAGTGACTGGGTGGGTGGCGGGTGGCAAACTATCTAAAGGGACACTCTCCACCTGAAGGGAAAGCCATCGCTTAGCTCTGGTAATTGTACCCATGTAGAACTCCCTCCACAGCTGGTCTTGCCAGTCCTGCTGATTTCTCAAGAGGAGCCAGAATTTTGAATTTTATGTAAAACCTACTGATTTACAAATACGAGCAACTCATGAAAAAAAGAAATATTTAAACCACTGTGACCTCTATAGAATCCAGACCCATAAATCTGTTTCTAAACTTGAATGGAAACTCAAGAGTATTCTGAGTTCAATGCCTTCACTTTACCAATGGGAAAAAGAAACCCTGAGGTGAACAAATGTTCCCAAGATCAATAACTAGTTCAGAAGCAGAGCCAGTTCTAAAAGGAATACCTGCTTTCTGTCTCCTGCATCACTTTTATTCCACCAGTGAGAAGGTCATGGGCATTAGGCCCAGTTAAAAACTTAGCAGAACTAAGTCTGGCTTACTGTGCACCCAGAACATTACTGACTTACTATTCTGCCATTTTACTCTGTCTTCTGGACATTATCCGAGGTGCACAGTTATCTCAGGACAGAACATTTTTGTTCCAGGTTGATTTTCCCCTCACCTGGAGCTTGTCACTGTAGCATGACCCTGCTACATGACTGGAGGACTAGCCTGTTCCTGCTGGGGAAGGGGGTTGGTTCAGTCACTAGTCCAAGACAAGCAAGGCTCCCTCTGCAGGAGGAGATGAAGTATAGAACTTACATTCACAACAGTGGCCTTAACTTCGGTGAGAGCTGTGCTTACAGGAATTGCAGGATCAGCGGTTGAGACTGGAATAAAGTAAAGCTTAAGTGGTAGATTATAATCAGGAATAAATTCCAACTGTGATCTAGATCTCCCTCTACAGGTTCCGACAGCAAAGTCCACAAAAGAAACTGGGTGGACCCAAGTTGCAGGATGTTTGGAGAACCTTGACAAAGCACAGAAGTTACAACAGGTGTCAGCAAAGTTTAGGAAACACTCAGCTGTTTTGAACCGCTGGGCCCACCGGACTCATAATATTCCACTTTAGCAGCCAGTACCCAGGATAGTGCCTGGTACAGATCAGTGCTTAATTACTCTTTATTGGATAAATGAAAGAATGAATAGATAGGTTCACATTCCTTGCCAAACTCATTAGAATTCTCATCCTAATGTGACAGAATAAGTGACTATGGTGGCTACCTCCTTGCATCCAACCTCAGAGAGGCACAGATGATGGCAGGAGCAAGCTCTGCTGCTACCTTGGCACAAAGCCATGCCCTTTTCAACTATGCATGGATGGAGGTGGGGGTAGGGACTTCCTCAGCTGGTAAACTGAAACACCTCTGCAGGTTTCCATGATTTCTAAATGAATCCTCCACTGTGATAACGAAGGCCTTAAAATCACTGTATTGGATACAATTATCAATTAAGAGAAAATCTGCTCCTTAAACTTATTAAGCCCAATGTCATTTGAAAAGGGTTTATGGCTGGGGAAGAAGTAGGCCCCTGTTTCTGTGACTTTGCTATTAGTAAGTATAATGTTGACATGAATAGAATAATCATAAAAGGCTGGTTTTTTTAAATCAATCTTTTGAACACAACTTTATTTTACTTAATTTTTTTTGTAGTTGTAGATGGACAGAATGTCTTTATTTTATTTTTTTATTAGGTGCTGAGGATCTAACCCAGTGCCTCATGCATGCTAGGCAAGTGCTCTACCACTGAGCTACAGTCCCAGCCCAGGTTAACTGTTTAATTTAGATGGAGGTACAGGGGAGATCACAATTCTGTGTTTTCTGTATACTTGAAAAATGTCATAACAAGATATTGAGGGGAAAGTTGCCTCCTGTCAAGAGAGCACTGGTCTCTAGCAGGTCCTGCTGTCACACACTGCGGCAACCTGATAGATCTAAACTGATGGTAATCTAAACCATGTGCTAGGCGTTCTTTCAAAGAACCACATACTAATGAAGATAAAAAGACACAGAAATGTGAAATAATATTCCTAAGGCCGAAATGATAGGGGCAGAGCTGTGAGGAAAAAGAAGAAAGCATAAAGTTTGGCATCAGGGTTTTCATTCATCATCGCTCATCCTGCCTCTCACTCTCACAAAGCCTTTCCATTCCTAGTTGTCTGTTTCATTTATTTGGAATATTTAAAAGTTACCAGGTGCAGTGGTGCATACCTGTAACCCCAGCTACTTGGGAGGTTAAGGCAGGAAGATCACAAGTTCCAAATCAGCCTGGGCAACTTAAGGAGACCCTGTTTCAAAATAAAATATAAAAAGGGCTGGAGGGCTAGGGCTATAGCTCTATGGTAGAGCGCCTGCCTAGCACATGTGAGGCACTGGCTTCAATCCTCAGCACCACATATAAATAAAAAATAAAGGTACGTCAACAACTAAAAAATATTTTTAGAAAATAATAAAATAAATAAATAAAAGTATTGTGTCCATCTACAACTAAAAAAAAAGTGGGGGGGGAAGGACTGGGGTATGTAGCTCTGTGGTAGAGTGCCCCTGGGTTCAATCCCCAGTGTCCAAAAACAAAAACCATTTATAGGGGGTGGAGTTGTGGCTCAGTGGTAGGGCACTTGCCTAGCATGGATTCGATTCTCAGTACCACATACAAATAAATAAAATAAAGGTCCATCAACAACTAAAAAATAAAAATTAAAAAAACATTTATAGCATGTCTGAATCATTTTAATTATTCTATTTTAATTTCATATTATCTACTACATACTCTTTTACAGATTCTAAGTCAAGTACAATTTTTAAAATGTATACTTTGATTGGACAATAATGTATCAATATGTCATTCTGAGGAAAAGAATGTGAATTTCCAGTCTGGTCTCATTATTCAATATCTTCTTGGGGAACTGAGCATTTAGAATAAGTAAAAGGCTAATTCCTCCTCATCCTAAATTTAGAAAGGCCTAATAAACCAATTAACCAGAACACTTTTTCACCATTTCCCTGCTAGTAGGGCCATCTTGTGCTCACGGCTAGCAAAATGTATTTAATCCCAGCTAACCCCTTCTAATGCTAAAGTAGTTATTACTGGGCAGACATGGAGCTCTGGAACCAATAAAGCACTGTTTAAAATCAAGGTCACCAAGATTGAATAGTGCTTAAAAGGTACCACTAAGGCTGATGATGTAGTTCAGTGATACTGTGCTTGTCTAGCATGAGCAAGGCCCTGGGCTCCATCCCCAGTACCACAAAACAAACAACACCTACAAAACAAAAACACCTATTCTTTCCTTTGTCTGTAGCAGCAAATAAGAAACTAGAGTTGAAGTTACTTAGAAACCAGAATTTCTTATTTTGAACATCTTTCTTTTATTATTTATTTATTTGTGTATTTAGGTGCCGGGGATTGAACCCAGGGCCTTGTGCATGTGAAGCAAGTACTCTACCAACTGAGCTATAACCCCAGTCCCTAAATAGCTTTCTTTTAAAAAAGAGGAGTCTGTTGTTAGAATCTATTTCAATGTTTTACAGGCCAAAAGATTTTCAACTACTAATAAAAAAAAATCTCTTGGGTCAGGCATGGTGACACATACCTATAACCCCAGTAATTTAGGAGGCTGAGGCAAGAGGATCTCAAGTTTGAGGCCAGCCTCATCAACTTAGTGAGGCCATAAGCAACTCACCAGACCTTGTCTCAAAATAAAAGATGAAAAGGGCTGAGAATGTAGCTCAGTGGTAAAGCACACCTGGGTCCAATCCCTAGTACCAAAAAAAAAAAAAAAGTTTTTCTTGGGCCTTGCCAGCTCCCCACGCTCCTGTTCTTATTGCACAGAGCTCAGAGCAACTGGCTGAGGTTTTAAAACCCTTCTTTGGTTGAAGGCTATTATTTAAAAATGTGTTATCAGCTTCTGAGTTATCTTTTGGCATGATTAGCATTATGACAAGGACCATGACTTATACCTTTTCTGTGTCCCTGGGCAAAAACTTCAAAGTACAGCTGGATTTCAACTTACTTCATCATCACTGAATCTCCCCTTAATGTTCTTAACCTTTTTCTTTAACTATGGAATCCAGAACTAAATCCAACACTTTCCTAAAAGTTTAACCAGGGGAGCTTTACAAAGGAGGAGAAAAGCTACCATCTTTACCTTCTCTTAACTCTCCTTAAAAACGATGGAACTTTATTCCTGATCCACTTAGGATTTCCCACAGATAGTCACTATGCCATCAATCATTAGGGTCAAAAATTTTATTCATTGTTTTCTACATTCAACTGCACAAAAAGAAAAAGATAGAAGTATTTGGTTTAAAATCTCACAGGGTGCCGTGGCACACACCTGTAACCCCAGCAAACTCAGGAGGCTGAGGCAGGAGGATCGCAAGTTTGAGGGAAGCCTCAGCAACTTAGCAACACTTATCTCAAAATAAGAAAATAAAAAGGGCTGGGATGTTGTTCAGTAGTAAAGCATCCCTGGGCTCAACCTGCAGTACCAAAAAATGAGTTATTAAGAGCATGCCTATCAAATTTGACTTGCCAATTTTTTGGCATGATTAACCTGACTTCAGTAGTAGATTTGTTTAGAGAAAACATGGAGAAAAGTCCAAAAGGTGCTGCCCAGCAGGCCAGAAGAAAGATGTTCTTCCTCAGGTCCTCTGCCAACTCTGTTTCCAAAGCCTTTCTTGCCCCTTGACCCAGCCATAGGATTGCTTCACTCAGTTCCACTTCCGACCACTAGGTGGCACTAGAACTCTGAATTACTGAAGAAATAGAATAAAACAGCTTAACTAGTCTAAACTTTAGGTGATTTGCTGTGAACCTTTAATCAACACCTTCTAAAATAATTCACTTATTTTTTATTAGTAATCCAAAACATTTTGCCTTTTTTACCATTTATTCCTATGTGCTATGGGGAAGAGCAAGCTAAAAACATGCAGCCTGTTCTTCAGTCGCATGGTCTCCTTATTGGTTGTAGATTAATTTAGCAGCTTCTCTTTTTGCCACAGCAGCCTCCAGCAACACTGGAGGCACACTTGGGCTTTTTGTTAGAATCTTCTGCAAGCTTGAATGGATCTGTGATAATATCCTGTCAAAGGGCAAATCAAAATGGAAGAACAAGTTAGAGAGGTTTTGATGTACCCAACATTTATATTTCCATTTGATATAAATAGATTTACCAGGAAGAGATAAAATTTTACAGTTCCATGGGGTCCTGGGAGTGGCACACATCATTCTACCATAAAGGCACACCTGAATCTTCTACTTTCAAGGTAAATTTCATTTAAATCTTTGGGGGGTTTTATCCCCTGCCTCCCCCCCTCCAACCTGGTTGCTGAGGCTTGGACACAGGACCTCCTTCATGCTAGGCAAGCATTCTACCAATGAGTTATAACTCAACACTAGGTTGGTTGGTTTGTTTCTCTTCTAATGTTAGTTGATTTGGGTTTTTTTGAGATAGAGTCTCACTAAATTGCTAAGGCTGGCCTTGAACTCACAGTCCTCCTGCCTCAGCCTCCCAAGTAGCTGGGATTATAGGTAGGTGATTCTAGGAAAAATATGACTGTGGAGAGACAGTACAACATATTGACTAAACATGGTGCTGCTGCTTCTAGAATCAGATGTGGGTTCAAATTCGCCACTTTCTAGCTGTGTGATGTTGGTGTAGTAAATTTATCTTTCTGAGCCTCAGTTCTTCATCTGTAAGATGAGAATAATAAAGGTTATTATAAGGGGCAGGTGACTTCAGCACTCTGAGACCCCCTTTCTTCCCTCTGCATTTATGTAGTGTCTACTGTGTGTAAGGCCCTGTGCAACAGAAACTTGTTAATTCTATGTGTGGAGTACCTACTGCCATGAGGACAGTACTAAGGTCAAGACAGTACTGAGGCTGGGCATGGAATTAATGCCTGTAATTCCAGTGATCAGAAGGATTCCAAGTTCAAGGCCAACCTCAGCAACTTAGAGAGGCCCTCAGCCACTTAGTAAGACCCTGTCTCAAAACAAAAAAATTGAGCTGGGGTTGTGGCTCAGTGGTAAAACACTTGCCTAGCATGGGTGAGGCACTAGGTTGGATCCTTGGCACCACATAAAAATAAAAACAAATAAAATAAAGGTATTGTGTGTCCATCAACAACTTAAAATAAAAATAGAATAAAAATTTTAAAAAGGGCTGGGTTGCGGCTCAATGATAGAACACTTGCCTAGCAATTGTGGGGCACTGGGTTAGATTTTCAACACTGCATATAAATAAAGAAAATAAAGGTCCATTGAAAACTAAAAAGAATTTTTTAAATAAATAAAAAAATTTTTAGTTGTAGTTGGACACAATATCTTTATTTTATTTATTTATTATTATGTGGTGCTGAGGATCGAACCCAAGGCCTCACACATGCTAGGCAAGTGCTCTACCACTGAGCCACAACACCAGCCCCGAAATAAAATAAAATTTTAAAAAATAAAAAAAGGACTAGAGATGTAGCTCAGTAGTAAAGTGCCCCTGGGTCAAATCCCAAGTACAAAAAAAAAATCTTAGCTAGTTTACATAATAATGGTGTTGTGGGTACAAGACACAAAATGAAGAAATAAACTATAAATAAAATTTCAGTCCCACAATAATTTATTCACAACTCTTAAACAAAAAGTTGAGAAAACCCCATTTGTTTTTCTGCTTTGTAACTTACTTGATAGCCCAACCTCATCTGGCATTGAAATATTTTGCTGTCTACACAAAATAAAAGTAAAATTAAAAATAAAAAATAAACAACAAAAAAAAGGTTTTTATGAGGACTAAATGACATGTTATTTTTTTTACTTTTTTTTGTTTATTTATTTTCTGATAGTAGAGATTGAACCTGGGGTGCTCTATCACTGAGCTACATCCCCCCCTTTTTTTTTTAAATTTTGAGACAGAGTCTTGGGAAGATGCCCAGTCTGGCCTGGAACGTGTGATCCTCCTGCACTCCTCCTACCTCAGACTCCAAATCCCTAGGATTACAGGCGTGTACCACTGCGTCCAGCTGACATAGTGTCTTGAACATTCTTCTAATTGCTCCATGAAAATTAGCTCCCCTATGTCACTGCTATCATTACTCATGTTGTTACTGGAATGACTATAACCTGAGGTAATAGTTTATAGCACAAATTCAATTTGTATAATTACAGATGCTACATTTTAGTAACTTTTAATACCAAAATACACTTTATCAGTATTAAAAAAGAAGAAAAGAAAAGTCTCCCCTGAGTGAACCCACAGTAAGAGGCAGCACCATTCCTTCCTCCATTGCGGCAATGATGGGGGACAAGTCTACCCGATCCCGGTGCTGGGCAGACACACTAGGGTTAATCATCAAAGTCTTCCATAAAAAAAGATAAGAACGCCCTCCTCCAAGAGCACAAGGTTACATTTCTAGGTCACACAGCTGTTTGATTTTTTAAATCTTCCTCCAGTGTCAATTATTCCCATTTGAAAAACTCGAAACCTGAAATACACCTGGCACAGAAAAGACAAGTGCCACATGATGTCACTCTTATGTGGAATCTAAAAAAAAAAAAAAATGATCTTATAGAAGTTGAGAGTGACAGGGTGGTTACAGATGCCCAGGAGAATAGGAGAAACGGAGGGAAGCTATGGGGAAAGGCTGACTATGGATAATATAGCGGAAGCCGAAATTGGGCATCTGACAAGCCATTTACATCCAGGTGTTTCAAGGACCTGGATAAAAAGCCTTTTTACAACCAGAGTTTGTTCCAAATGCCCTTTGAGAATGGCAAGGTCCTCTCTTCCCCCGCCTCAGCCCTCCTGTCTCCACGGGATGTTTACAATGTGGATGAGGCTATGCCAACTTGGGAGAGACTGAACATGACCAGGACAGGGTGAGACCTGTCACAAAGTCCAACAGGAAAAGGGGACAAATAAAAATACGAGAGAAAAGAAGTCTAGGGCATATTTAGAAAGCAAATGCGGCATGTTTACTTGGTGCCAGCACCTGCAGAGGAAAGGTAGATAACATGGCAGTCTTCTAGAAAGATCTTAAGCCTAAACAACAGTTCCAACATTACTTATCTATGGAGGAAGATGAGGAACTTCTATGATCCGGCATTGCTACCATGGGTTGGAATCCCCCAACTCCCTGTGACTAGGGGGGCAGAAAAGGGAAAAACCATCCCTCTACTAGATACGGGCATTGACTGTACACTAATCTGTGGTAACCCAGAATGTTTTCCAGGGTCCTGGGTAATTCTTCTAGATCTGGTGTAAAACCATCAGAGTAAAACACGTATTGCTATACCAAGAAGAGAAGGAGCTCCATGTTTGGGGCAATCTCTCCAGATCCTGAGAGCATTCTTGGGATAGATACTGTATCAGGAAAGACATTACAGACCTCCATGGGGGAATTCTGACTCAGGGCTCGGGGAGCAAAGGTGACACTGAGGGGGAAGCGAAGCAGGAGCCTGCTAGCCTTTCTGCCCTGAGGTGGGTAGGACACACCAGGCAGTTCAAACCGTCAGGTAGACATGCTGAGACTAGAAAAGAGATAAAAGAATTAGGTTGAGAGTTTACAACCTGTCACAGTGCCTCCACTAGCCCTGTCCACTTGGCTAAAATTCAAATAAAACTTAAGAGAATGGCTGTCAATTATAGGACATTAAACCAGGTGATACATCTGCCTAAGCTTTGGTGCCTAACATTCCCTAGGTAAGAAACAGATGCACCCTGTCTTGCTTCTTTGCACAAAAAGAGACAGAAAGTGGTTGTGTAAACAATAACAACAGTCAACCCTTTCTACCAGAAGTTGCAGGAACCAAACCAGTCGTGAGGCATTAATTTGGGTTTGATAAATGAACAGGTTCTAGGGAGAATATCATCACAGCTCTGGAGGAAAACAAATGTTTAATAGGGAGTTATAAAGGTAAATCTGCACCTCCTGGGCCCTAATCACAGGGAGTGGGGGAACTCCAACCCCTCTGCTTGAGGGCTACACAGCAAGCGAGAGTGCCATGACACATCATGTGTTTGGGCCCAATTTGGACAGCATGTACTGTGAAATGGGTGCCTTGGTCACTGTCAATTGGCTCAGGTACCCATACATCACACTTAACTGCTCAAGACCTTTGACAGTGGCAGTGTGATAAGCTCTCCTGCTGGGAAAGGTTTGCCTGAGACCAACAGACCATTTCCTCATTCGCTATGTGCCAGCCACACTGTAAGGCCTCCATACACCACCCGGCTGTTGGTACAGACAACCAACAGCCATGGCCTGTGAGTGACCGCCAGCCATACTGCCCTAATTCTGCCATTAGCTGCTCTGATTTTCTTCTGTCTTAAGCCACATGGTATCAGTGGTATAGCAGCCCAGACACTTGGGTTGCACCTGTTGGATTAATCTATATCCCAGGCATTTTAAGATGTGAGATCTTAGGCCTTGTGAGATCACCCTGTGGCCAGCTGGGGTGGTGAGGCAGTTTCATAGATAATTAGACTCATTAGCGTCCACAGCTCAGGAACAGTGGGGGGTCTGCCTGATAGCAGGTTGAGGCTAATAAAACAGGCCCCTACCCCTTTACACATGGGCTAGTTTGCCCTGAGACTTAAGTTGACTTCAGGATATTGTATATTGCTAGAAATTGCTATTCTCAAGAAGGTTTAGTTTCTTTCTAGAGTTGAGACTAAAAACCTACAGGTAACTTTCATCCTCTTTCTTGCCCGAGAGCTCAACTCATGCCACTGGCTATACAGATGTCATCTAACTGCATTGGCAAGCTTCATTCAGGAGACCTAGAGCCTGCCTGTGGACTATCCCTACACAGACCTGAATATTCTTACCATACTGGGTAAAGGGAAGGTTTGCACTTTATCTGGTATCATGCCTAGAATCAAATCGGTCTTACATGACCAGACTACCCCTAGGAACACCAGGGATGACCCAGGGTCCTGGATCTCCTGGGGGTAGACAGCCCATTTCTTCATGCATAAGTGAATACACAGTACAATCTTCACCAGTTAACAAGGTATCATTGATGCAGTGGAATCAGTAGAGAATGAGGTCCCCAGCTATCTGCAGGGACAGGAGGAGGACTGTGCAGATA